TATAAAGAGCACAATCTTCCATGCACTCAAATATGCACATTTGTCCAAGTATAGAAATTTTAATTTTTTTCGATTCACGATGAACTGCGCAAACGTAAACGTGCATTGAGATAGGAAATGGAAAACGAATGAATATGAATACCTTATCGGGATGCGTCGTACTTAGTTTAAAAGCGCAGTGTGCTTTGCATAGTACGCAGTTGCAACGTCTATGAGATAGACTGCGCTCGTTCGCTCCTCGCATATGAAAAGTTCGTCTACGATTTTTCGATTTATCTTCACAGCCGCAGTGTATGAAGAAATAAGTTTCTATCTCTTCTAGTTTCGGCCAGTTTTTATTATTGCAAGCAAAATGGTAAGATTTCTTGTTGACGAATCGCGAATTTGTGCAATATACACGTTTGATAATCTATTTAACATTAAAATGATAATTAAATTTGTAGCTTGTAACATTCGTTTTTCGAAAAGAACAATTTTTTACCAACAGCATTGACTAAAAATTACGAATTATACGGTTATCTTTTCTACATTTTGATACGTATGCAATCACGTTTCGTTCATATACAGGCAACATTTATTGCCAATCTCAATGGAAATATAAGCCTGAGGACGGCAATTTTTCGAAAACTAATGTCTTGCGGGGAATCGGTTTGTTACTCACAAATAAATGTTTTGTTCCTCAGTTAATTATTACAAGTTATAATATAAAATAGGCAAAAAACATACCTCTCAACAAACTGTGTCTCTGAAGTCTCACTTTGTGGAAACTCACAAATTATTTAATGTTCACAAATACATCATGAACTATTCAGAGTTCGGGATTCCTTTTTAATAGTTCTCCAGTTTTGGATAGATTAAGCAAATAATTCTGTTCATTAACATTAAAACCACTGACAATTAACGTGTACCTTTCTACCGGAGCAGTTTAAATAAGATGTTTGAAAAAATTCGTAATGCAAAGAAAAAAATATTTATTCGTTTACACATTGCAACAAAAATTACGATTAATCTCAGAGAATGCACACTATGAGAAATCGGAGTGTTTTATAAGAAAAAATTATAAACTGATCATTTTGACAGCTTCGATAGTTTTAGTGTTAAAACAGAAAAATGGGTCCGAACAAACTGAGGCGCAAAGTTCACGCTGCGCTTCTCTTTGTGTACATGAGTATTTTTGACATTCAATGCAAGATTTCAAAAGACTTCTATTATTATTTAAATTTAGTATTTAAATAATTTTTATCCTCTGAAAAAAGTGCTCCTGCAAGTATACACATAGGTAAGACACTAATCGATTTACGCTGGTTGGGAGTTTTTGGTATTTTAAAATAATTCTGGTGTAGTTTTGAACGTATCTAAGCAAATTATAAAAAGTCCTAGTGATAAACATTAACCAATATTGAAGAAAAATCGTTTGTCGTACGCCCGTAAAAGGCGTACTTACAGACTTATGAGACGCAGGTCGATTTTCGAGAATTTTGGGAAAATATTTCTCGTGTAGTTTTGAAAGTGTATAAGCAGATTATAAAAAGTTCTGGTGTGAAATATTATGTAATACTTTTTAAGTAATTTTCATTGTTCGATGAAGGTGCCTTTACATAGAGTACATAGATAAGACATCGGTTGATACTGGAGAATTCTATGCATTCTAAAATATATCTCGTATAATTACAGGAATATTTAAGTATTTTCTAAAAAATTCTAGACAATGACAATATTGCGATTTTCAAATAAATTAATACTGCTCGGGCGCCGCGTATTTAGAAAGAATAATGTGAAACGCTGGTCGAAATTTCGGAATTCTGGTTATTCTATAAATGTTCTACATTTATTCTATAAACGTTCTCGCTGTTTCTAAATACTCTTTTTAAGGAGCCTGAGCGGTATATTAATTTAATTAAAAGTCGTACAGTATTGCCAGTGCCTAAAACTCTAGAAAATGCATAAATATGCTCAGAACTATGTGAAAAGTATTTTACATAAATGAGAACTCCGAAATTTCAGTCAGCGTCTCACATTATTCTCTCTAAATACGCGACGCTCAGGCAGTATTTATTTAGAAATTTTTCAACATCACCAATGCTTAGAACATGCTTAAATATGCTCAAAATTATTCGAAAAGTATTTTTTGTTGGGTGTTTGATATGGTTCGTACAAGTGTTCGTGTGAAGGTAGAACGGATTAAACTGAGCAGAAAAGTCCTCTACCATTTTGCAAACAACCACATACAATTTTGAGTTATTAATTATTGAAAATAGCCATATATAAAAGTTTTTTAAAATTAATAACTGAGAAAAGGACTTTTATGTTTAGAGTGATCTAATCCATAAGTATGTGATAGCTGTTATACCTAGCGACATACATCAATATATTAAACCTTGAACCTCAAATATTAAATCTGTTGTCTAACATATAGTTTTCAAAGCCTAATAAGGCGTAACTCGCACGATTCGCAATGTGTTAATTAGACGATCACTGTCGCTCGATACCGGGGTTAATGTTTACTTTTCAAAAGTTTCAGCATTCGAAACTTCAAGTATTCAAATTCGAATTTCAAATATTTCAAAGATCTGAAGCTTTGGTGTTCAAATTTTGAAAATATCAAAGCTTTGAAACATTGGAATTATAAAATTGTTAAAATATAAAAAACGTCACTTGAATTCGCAAATCTAATTTCAATTTAATCTACCGATCTAATATATCGCTATCTAATATCATCATATAATCGCAATTTCATTCGCAAAGCTGTACTCTTCGAAGCTTCTGAGCGCGAAGATTACGACGTTTAAAGATATATCTTCAAAACATCGGTTTGCAAAAATTCGGAAGTTCGAAGTTTTCTTCAAAGCTTCGAACCGTTCCAAAGCTTTGAAGATTTGAAATTATCGAAGATTAACAATCCTATTCAGTACTGCACACTATTATATTCACATTACGAGACAAATTTCGCGGAATATGAAAAAAAGAAGTTTGACATTTATCATCTAATTTATTTATCATCTAATTCAGATAGAGAGTTCATTCGGTGCTAATCGATAAGTTCAATGAGTTCAAGTAGGATATTTATATCTCTCTGCAAAAGTATTTATATCCAAATTGGATATTTACATTTGCGCCAGGTTTTAAGAATATTGATTCTCAATTTATTCTAGAAATCAAAAGCTGAAAAAGGTATCATGTGGCATGGACAATAGAGTTTAAAAAAAAAAAAAGAAAAATATGGCCATCCGGTGCTGTAAATCATAAGCAGGAATGGATTAAGTATGAAATACGAGCATAGCTTGTTTCGCAAATAATCGTGTCAAATGTTTGCTGCGTCAAAATTAACGTAGTACTCCTATCATGGCTAGCAAAAAATACTTCTAACTATTTGTTAAAAATTTAGCAGCAAAGATACGTCTTAAAAGATGAATATATGAATTTGATCTTTGTGTGCTTTTACGTTGCTTAAATGAAATGGTGTTTCGCGATATGACGAAACATGCTTACGCCAATGACGAAACCTTTTGCAGGATTTGGTATAATACATCAAATATTAATCACAATTTCGATAAAGAAACTTCTTTTAGTCTTTAATGCTTGCAACTGAGAGTATTAAATATTGCAATTTTTTTATTACCTTATCTAAATGCATAAATAAATATTTCCTATAGTGTTTTAGGATTGTCGTATAAAAATGTGAGTGAAATATATCAAAATGATTTATAATGTATTCGACAAATACATCATAAATATAAATAATCTTAAAAAAATGTGTCCTGTTAAAATATTGTCCAAAACTGGGTGTGTTGCTGTCAATCCGAAAAATATCAGTAAGTGGACTTATTATAAATTACAGGTCTGGTTTAACCCTTTGGGCCCCAATGGTATATATACATCCCATCAAGTATTCCAAAATATCTCATGTGCCGTACGATTCCCGTTTTACGTTGTATATTTTTTTAACGGACTTTTTTGGTCTGTCTGAACATTTACCTACGATATTTAACTATAACCGGCAACACTGAATTATGCTCGTTGTTCAAAAATAGGAAAAGAACGAAGGACAACAACTATTTGCCAATAAGTAGTGTATTATTGTACTTTTTGGTTTCAAATAATAAAATTTTCTGAAGATAACTGATTTTTTCGTGTACCCAATGGGATATATACAACCCGGAAAAAATGTCTGTTGGGATGTATATGTCCCAGCTTTCTTTTGCTTTTTATGTAAAACTGTTATTCTATACAATAAGAACTCACTTACAGATCGCCAATAAGTACAAATTGTCCAAAATAGTTATCAAAGAAAAAAGAAAAAAAAAATTGAGTTCCAAAGGGTTAACAATAAAAATAAAAAGCAAACTAACTGCGCATTTACTATATTCCTTTCACGCGATCAATGAATATAATCATAACGAATACATGAAAGATATCAGATTATCGATTATCACACTGTGATATGTTGCGTCACTACTGATGAATCATTGACTTGAAGTCACTTGAACTGTGATAACTACTTTTTGTAATCATCTTGTTCCGGCAATACAAGCCGACTTATATAGAATTATTACTTGAAATATGTCCACAGTTTTACGATTTTATGAAATGAGTTAGAAAATAGCCCATACAGAGCAGTTTTACGATTTTATGAAATGAGTTAGAAAATAGCCCATACAGAGCAACGTTTTAGGAAAAGAAAAAAAAAGTAAAATTGAAAATCATAAATTACAGTGAGAGGTCTTTCGAAAAAATAAAATAGGGCTGAATAGGGCTGAATCGGGCCGAAGAGAGAGGGGGCTTGAAACAAGCACTCATAAAAGCGAGTTAGTTTTTTCAAATTTGACATTCCCGTAATGAAATAAATTTACATACACACACACACACATATGTTATTATATATATATTACACACATATAATGTAATAAATATCATAATATGTTATAAATTTAATATATATTATTATATATCTATATGTACGTATATATGTACATATGTATATACGTATTTTGGGACAACTTTCTGTTTTTTTTGGAATCATTTCCCGTGCTATCCCAATGAAAGGGGATAGCATTTCTCCTTCGCTTGTAAATAAAACACGAGGTATATCTTGGCAATATCAGGCAGATCGGTTAGTACCATTGAATGAAGGAAACTAGAAAAGAACACACAAGAAGTACTTTCAAACTAATTTTGTAGCTAACCGGTCGGATGACGCTGATGCAACCGACATCTAATTGTTACTTCTCTGGATGTACCCTTCATATCGCACACCGCTACCAATCTCGTCAATCTGTGTAATTTCGCACACCGGAGTACGGTATGACGCAGCCCCGTCGGGCGCCCCGGTGACCCATCCCTACCACGTGTGTGAGCGCTCCAGGAGAAGGAGGCGGCGCTTATACTTCCAGCGTATATATAAAAGAGAGACAACCCCCCAAACCGATTAGCAAAGTTCCCCAAACACACGTAACACTACACTTTTCCATGTCGAACGAGACGTAGCGATCGAGAAACGACGCAAACCGCGGGCGACAATAAATTGCTAGGTTGTGGACGACAGGAGAGAAAGTAAAAGGGAAAAATAAAGATAGACGGAGGGAATAAATCGAGATCCTTGAACTCGACCGGCGAAACGGCAAGAATTTCACGCTGGCACAAAGAGAGACGCCATCGACGAGATAAGGCAGCCGTAATTTATTAACGACGAATCAAAGACTAGCGCAAGACGACGATATAAAAAAAACAGAGAGAACGATTATATTCGCAAGGGATCCTCGACGCGTAATTGTTAGACGAATTCGTAGGTGAGAACGAGCGGAACAAGACGTATCCTGGAATCAAGACATCGAGTGGTAGCGGAGCAGCGGAAAGAGCGGGCGGAGGAAGAGGTGGACGGCATGAAAGACGGGTAGAGATACCACGAAACGTCATTTAGGCTCCGCTCTCGTTCCTTGCGTGACATCCCGAGGGTGCGTGCAACCGACTCGTCTTCACGAGGGCAACGCCGCTGACGACGACGTACGCACTCGCGCACGCACGCGGAGCGATAACGAACGCGATCGATCAAAAACGCGCAGGGAGAAAGCTCGAAACGCCGCAGGTGACGACGACGACGACGACGACGACTACCACGACGAGAAGGACCAGGCCGATAACTGCGACGACGTCGACGACGACTGCGTCGTTCCGTCACAACGCTGGAATCACGTAATTGTCACAACAGCCCCACGTGTGACAACTGCTCGTGACGTTCGCACGCACGCACCTGCGTACACCTACGCACGCGTCTGTCGGCCGACCGACGCGTACTGCACGCAACAGCCAAGCCAAGAGAGGAGAGCCGCGCGCGCGACCTACCAACCGGCCTCCGTGCTTCATCGGCGTCGCTCGCGAGGGGCCCACCTTCCAGCAAGAAGTCGCTTTATTCACCAAGAAACGGAAAGAGATATACGAACGTACTACATAATTACGTCGCGGGGACAGTCAACGACGGCATATACTGGATAGAAAGAGAGAAAAGGTGCGGAAACGTGTCTATCAGCCGTCGATCCGGCCACTTCCTTTCACGCCGCCAGGATGTCCAAAAGGAGACAGATGATGCAGCCATGGCCTCTGTGCCTGCCGCCCTTCGCGAAAACGAAGGTAAGACGCGCTCATCGGCCCGAGTTCTTCTCTCCTAGGTTTCTCTCTGCGGGGTCTGGTTTCCCCGAGAGCTGGCTGCTGGTTTCCGCGCCGCCGCCGTCTTACTCCCGCCGCCGGTCACCCTCTCTCGCGAGCTCTCGTTCTTTTTCTCTTTCTCTCTCCGCCTCTCGTTCCCCATCTTCCTTCCCCTCCCAACCAACCCCACCCATGGGCCACTGGAAATTTCCACTGCACCGACGGCAGGCGTCTGCCGCCTTTACGGCCTGTTTTTTCGGCTTTCCGGCCGCGAACTCTCTTTTCCCGACTTCTCTCTCTCTCTCTCTCTCTCTCACACACACACACATACGCGCCCCTTTGCTTATACCCCTATAACGTAAATTGCATTATCGTCTCTGGCTTCTCATTCTCTCTTTAGGCTCGCGAGTGATGAACCGTTTCAGGCAGAAAACCGTGATGTCAATCATATTTTTCAGCTTCAAAAGTACAGGAATAAAGATACTTGATGAAAAGTAAAACTGTTGCAGTATACATGTGATATTGAAAAAATCAACTTTATACATTATTTTCAATGTATACGTTAACTGATCTTTGATTAACACTAAAGTCGCAATTTTCTTGGCATATCGCTCATATTGTGATACCTCATAAATAAAGGGACAAGTTTACAATTCCATCGATGCAACACCGCGAACTCTCAAACTCACTTGTGCCATTGCTCTGGTCACAACGGTTCGTACATTCTCGATCGCTCGTGATTCCTTTTTGATCCTAAGCTCTTTTGTACCCGTTCCTGACCACGACATTGAACAGTCTATATTTAACGCGCGGGAATCGTACGTTGCCTCGAGAAGTCATGATCTAATGATTTTCTCGATCGCGAAATCACGTCGACGTTATATATATATATATTTCTACAATGTCGACACGCTGAAATTTTATACGATGCGATCTTTTGAAAGAATGAAAGAAACCACAAATTCATTATCTCGCGCCAAAATTAGGAGAAGCGCCCACACGTACATAAATTGACGATCGCACCTGGTCTAATCATCCAGTGAATCGAAGTTCAACCATAAATCAAATCGACCAAGCTGCAAATTTCTTCTCGTTTTCAGCATCTATACCTGAATCCAAATATTGATGCTATTTTGACGCTTTAAGAACAGTTTGCGTCTACTTAGGGAAAGACGACCTACATAAACTATGGAAAACCTACTTTGCTATACATGTAAACTTCTCTCTTGAACCTTGAATTCTACACAAATTTAATGTTAATGCTACCTTGAAGCTACAAGTATTCTCGACACTTCAATTATTAAGTTTTTATGAGTAACCAAAACAACCTATTTTGACACCAAAAAAATAACGAGAACGGAAATTCAAGACACCATCATGGTCAAAATAGAAGTAAATCATATCACTAGAATTGGACATATTTCATTATCTTAGCTCGCCTACTGCGCTGTAAAATTGAATATTTAACATAAGATGAAAATTTGGACAATTATCGGAGAAATTATACCGGTTTTCCTAAATCACAGCCACTTCGAGAGGTCAAAGTCGCGCGCTCGTACGAGAGAGACTTTGATGTGTAATTAGTTAAAAGACTCGGTCATTTCGAGTCTGGAAGCATTCCCTTTGCATTAGCTCGTTTCGCGAACGTTTCACGAGACGGTTTTCATTGCGCCAGATAACCGGACGCTCTCTACCTGCATGTGCAGCTCTCGCCTCGCGGAAATATCGATCGGTGTGCGCGCGCACTCTCGCGTAAAGCCAGAACAGACTCTCTGTTTGTAAAAAGATAATGTATCGGGAACCGATACGGCGTTTCGGCCAAGATGAGAAAATGCCGGATTATTCATGCACATCGCGACATCGACGTGCAAAAAATCCAGTTAATTTATAGAATTACAAAAAAAATTACTCGTATACTACTGAGCGGCATTTTATATCGATATTATCGGTATGACACTGAAACGACGATCCGTATTCCTTGAGTTATTTATACAAAATATCCTGATATACACTTCTCATACACATATTGGGAGTTACGTAACGAGTAAACGAGGAAATTTCCGAAAACTTTGGGTAACGCGCAAATATTTTCGTTTTGTGGCAGATAACAGGCGGAAACATAGGGATACGTTTTGGAAAGCATTTACAATTGGTTTTATTCATCGATATCGATATTCGCTACATATTTGACGTTTGCTATATTTCACTTCCAGATATTTTTCTTTTACGGCCCGATAATGCTTCTTTTCTTTAAATATTGTTTTCTGTTATGTCATACAATGAGACACGTGAAAAATATATTAACAGTGGCATTGCAGTAAATAATTAGATTTCGGATAAAAATAATTGACAAAATCGCTCGGCAATGAGAAACGGTGTGACTTGATCGAATTTGAGAAATAAATTAGAGATACGTTATCTCACATTAACCGCATTCAGTTTCACGGACAGGCACCTTAAAAATAAACGATTCCGCGCGTCGGGAGAAAGATCGTTGTTCGTGAAGAAAATTTCAAACTGTCTCTCATAGATTGAATAACTTGTCGTTGTGTTCATAGATCCGGATGGCTCGATGCTTATCTGCCTAAGGGGATACAGTATCGAAAGAAAAACGTTCGATACTTGACTTATCGGAAGGATCGTATCGGTAGTGTACACACACACACTGGGAAAGAAGTATCGATATCAGTTTGAAGAAGAAAGTAAACCCTTTATTGTTTGTATCTGCAAAAGTTATATTCTTGCATTTTCCGTTTTCCGTTTCTTCATCTCTTAAACTATCTCGAGGTAATGAACATTATCAAAGAATCGTAGAAATTCTTACGGTCGTAAGGACATAGTAATACTTGTAATCATGTAAAAAACGGTTACGTTACAGATAATGCTCTCCCCTATATAATTTTTGAATTTACAAATTAATATTATGGAATGCGGAAAAGAAATTACAAAACTTAATTATTCATTATCAAATCTCTGTTTCCTTCGATTTCGATGTTGACAAAAATACTGACGAAAGAGATATTTAAGGAAACTGAAACGTCATGAAAATATCGATACTCTTTTCGTATCATTTTCATTTTCATCCATCCCATACTTTTGTAACGCTGATAGAGAACATCAATAAACCATATGACAATAAAAATCCGACTTTATTATTAACTCTCGAAAATGTTCGAACCTGTTCCCGTGCGAGTCACGTGGCGCGTTACGTTAGCGACAATACTCGGCTATAAAGCGTTATCGACTTTCAACGTTGTATCTAATTACGACTATTATATTATCGACCGATATTCACGGCTCAAGGTAGGCAAGAATTAAGATAACGTTACGCGACGTGCAAATTTCCATTTGCTCCGTGATCTACACTTACAACTACGCGTCAATATGTCTAAAATATCAAGGACGACTAGAAAACGCGCAGATACTCGTCGTGGGCGACGATAAAATACGGATGCAAAGTTGCATATGTAGACATTCGGCCGTTTGAGAAAATATTCAATCTCGTCATCATTGAAAGTACAATGTACAAGCCAATTCAAGATAGAATGACCGAATAAATGCAGGAAGCATGTGTGTTCGTAAGATTTTAAATCAAGGATTGTAAAGACCGATTCACCGGTAAGGATGCTAGAGCTTCGAGTTTTTTTAAATTAAAATGTCAAACACCCGATAAATGCTCATTCTTCAGTATTCATTCATCCATGTCTACTCTTCCGAATTAAACGTCTTTGTGATTAAATCACGAATAAAAACCTCGTTAAGAACTACTTAAATTTCAAAGGAATTCAGATTTCACTTTCATGTTTGGAATTTAATTTTTCTTAAATTCCCTAGTTTGAAAAAATTATAGGCGTATTTCAACATTCAAATGAAGAATGGCAAACGCAAATTTGCTAAAATTATTTTTCCAATAAAATTAAAATTTCTGTAGAAAACCATATATATATATATACATATATTTAGACATAATTGTATAAATATATATATATTTTTTTTATTTATTTATACAATTATGTCTAAAATTAATTTTTCAATATAAAAAGATTAATTTTTTTTTAAATATAAAGTTACAACTATGGATAATCTCACTACAAAGCAATCTGCATTTCTCTTAATTTAAATGAAGATTTGTGGTTAATAAAAATGCAATAATTATATATATAGGACATTTTGCAATATTTATGCGCATAAATCATTGTGGCAGTCACTTAAAGACGAACCAGACAAAATTCGATATTCATAATTAAGCATCGCTCCAAAACTCCGTTTGATAATCAGTCGATAATTCGGCTATTCTCGTTTTATTACCGACCTGGCACAACGATATTCGTATTCGATACATTCTATCCATTCTCATGTTAATTTACCGGCGCGAACACTGAAAAGAGCGCCGAGAGTACGTTAAAACGCTCTGTTCAAACGTAAAACGGGTTATAACGGGAAGGGGCAAACGCAAATTCTTGCTGAAACGTGCAATTACACAATGACACTGAAACAATATCACATTTTTAAAATGAAACTAGTGCAATTAAAAAAGAAAGAAGAAAAAAACTAGTGCTATTAACTACACGAATTGAAGTGAGCGAAAAGAATGAGAATGGTTTTATCTTTTCCGACAATAAAATAAAATAATAATTGCGACAGATGCAATTGATTACCTTTGATAGATAAACACATTTAACTAATTACTTCCAAATGAATGTGATATTAAAAAGAAAAAGAGGGAGGGGAGGATAGGGAGAAAAAAGCACTTAAAATCTACAATTTATCACGTCATCAATCAATTGACACGCGTTCTACAAACTTATTTGTGTTTCACAATGTAGAGAATGTTGCATCCTCTAAAATGCGCGCGTCGTAAAATGATTAATAGATTGCATATTTAAACAGATTGCATAATTTACGAATTTTCTTTGAAATAGCGCGCTTCGCGCCACGGAGCATACAGAGCAAAAATATGTGATTCTTTCTTTATTAAACGCTAT